ATATATATTATTATTATATTACATTATATAATATTAATTACTTTTCTTTTCAAAAAAAAAACAGATCTTGTTATGCGGCTAGTAAGGAAAAAAAAGAAAATCATTATATATATTACAGTCAGGGATATTTCCATATCGGGATTCGTTTCCAGAATAGTCTGCTGATCAATTCATTATATGTTACAAATGAATTCACAAGATACTTCTTGTTACATCTATGTTACATTTTATAAAAATAAATCAGTTTATAATAATTGAAAGTAATAGTAATACTATTAAACTTGCTCTTTCATAATCTGTTAATAATCTGTAATAATCTGTTGATTTGTTCAAAGTACGTTTTTACTAAAATTAGAAATTTATGACTAGAATTTAATTTTTAGACCATTATGTTTGTATTGTTTGCATGAAGATATTGCAAACAAATATCCAGAAAGCCAGCTGACCCCATGTTGGTGCAAATCTTATTATTAAGTATATTACTATATTTATTAATTTGTTAATAACAATATACTTTTATTTAGGTTTTATTATTTATTTATTTAAAGGTAGTTTAAGGATACCGACTGCAACTTTGATGATGGTTGTAACCACCTTTACATCATATACAAATGATTGCAACACCTAGTCATAACTGCCTTTGCAACAACTTTGTTGGATTTCAGCATGTAGCACTAAAGTAGCTCGGTATGGAAATGCAAGCATAAAACTCCAAATAAATTATTTTGTATTATTTACAATGGTGACTATTGATTTCAATATATTAATCATTATTTATTTTTGCTATATGGATTTTGTATGTATCCTTTATTTATTATTTAACAGAATTGGCAAGGAAATTTATATGGTATTATTTCAATTTCTATTTTTAAAGATTAAATGAAGTATTTTGTTCTGATGAATGGCAGCTTAATAAATTATTTAATAACAAATAAAAATCATTATTAATATAAATAATATGTTATATATTAGTTAGTGTTCCATGTCGCAATCCAAAAAAGGAAACAAAATGGTTGTAAAGGTGGTTGCAACCAGTGGTTGCAATCGTTTTTATATGACGCAAAGATGGTAGCAACCATCATCAAAAGTTGCAGCCGGTATCCTTAATATTAGTTAAATAGCATCTCTGACATTGCTTGATCTTGGGTAAGCTTGTAGAAAAGTTAAAAATGCACATATTATATAATTTGGAAATTATATAACCAATTAATAAAGCTCCCGCCATGTTTTTCTTGTTTTTCTTTTCCTAAAGATTATTATTTTTTATTCAATGAAAAGATCTGCACAGAATTTAGCCAATTTGAATTTTTTTGTAAACAAGTTATTAATTTTGTGACTGAAGAAAAATTATAACAGAAAAATAAGTTAATTTAGTTTACAAAAATGTTAAGAATTTGCCAAAAAAAAAAAGAATTTACAAAAATGAATACATTTTTGTACCAAAAAAATTTCCTTGAGGGAGTGATCAATTATCATCATTATTATCAATTATCAATTATTACACAACGCAACCATTTTTGTGAAACATCAAAAGACTCTGTATTGCGAGCGTGTAAATTCAAATACAGCTCGGGTTGTGTCCAATAAATATATATAAAATAAATAAAAAGTCCAATATATTAATCTCCCTGTATCGGCACACAGCTCAGGGTTCTCAAGTCTATACCAGGCCTCTGTATCGGCACACAGCTCAGAGCCTACTCAAAACTCTATTTCAGGTCTCTGTATCAGCACACAGCTCAGAGCCTAAAATCTCTCTCTACAGTACTAATGGAAGTACTGCTGGCCTAAAAATAATAAATAAAATAAAATAAAAAGAATATACAAGAAATATTTACAACTATACCACTTGAGGCGTCCCTACAAGCAGCATAGAACAATCAAATGGGGGGTTCCTAACTAATGATTAGTGGCTAGCCACTAATCATCAGAGAGGACCATGGAACAATTTACAATGGCTTCCTATTAACTATGCAAAAATTCGTAATAAGGTAAAATGTGTTTATTTAATTATTAACAACGGGGGGGGGGAAGAAAAAAAAAAAAAAAAAAAAAAATATATATATTTATATATATTTATTCAATTATTATTAATGTTATTAACACTATCTCCCTCTCACTTGGTCTAAAACCAAACCTTTTTATACCTCTTGAGGTATTACAAATAACATGACCTTTACAATATTTTATCCAATAAAATATGCTTATTAATC